AGAAGACAAATCCGGAACCGGGAATATTGGGCGCAAGCCTCGAATCCGAGTACTACTTTAAGACTTCAAGGCACACGTGGCCCGTAGACTTGGACTATATACTGGCTCAAGCCGCAAGTCCTGTGAACCGTCTTGTCCAACCCGTTTTCTTTAACTGATCCAATTTTTCGACCTTCGAATTTACTGCGTAGAACTTTGGGACGTCATCATCTTTTCGACATGGTATGTTCCTCTTCTTATGTTGCGTCTTATTTTTTGTTTTTAGCCTACTCAAACGGCTTCAAGTAGCAAGAGTGCGCCAACATCAGCTCGAGGAGCCACAGGTGGTACACGTCAACGGAAAGTGAGTTCTGGGATTACTATTATAATTGTGCTTTACATGTAAGGCACATTTATTCAACTGCAGTTGAATAAATACAGGGTTATCGAGTTTGCTAAACCGTGAGCCTTTTCGTAGTGAAAAACTTCGTTGATGAATGCTCTCGCAAATCAGATTGGTTTCTGTTCGTTTGCCCACAGTTATTCCTGTATCAACGCTCTGCGGGGCGAAGATATGATGAATATTTATCCTTGCGTAAAAGGACTAGTTTATTCCATTGCGATCTCTGTAGTTTGTTAATCCACATGCTTTCTATGTAATGTGTTACTTACAGTCAACTTGTAGAGCTCCTCTGTCCATCAAGTTTTTAGATTCAGTTTTTACAACCTTTGATCTGGGGTTCGTCATAAATGTCAAGAGTAGTAATGAAACTTCCATAGAATTCCATCACAGCTGCAGTTAGTTGTCCAAAATATTCTTCATCCCTAATTTCATCTCAATTCGAACATTGGGCTGGTGCCTGCCGCATGTCCTGTGGTAGTTTCCGAGGTTTTTACTTTACTATCACTTGTCACTTTCACTTCAAATTTGTATTCGGATGCTTGGGACGTGTATCAACCCGTTTTTTCGCCATTCTGACCGTCGCTGTTCCCGAGAGGCAATGCTACAGACAGATCATTGTCTTTAAACAAAGAAAATTTTCGCCCAAGAATCAGATCCTTTCGCATAGTTGCGCTCAATCATATCCTCATCTGACCATTGGCAAAGCTTCCTGAANTCCTGAAATACACTAATTGGCGCCAACTTCCCATCTGAACTCATACCGCGCTTCCGCTGAAGCTCGACCACACCGTTTAACTTGCTTTAGCTTCTCCATTTGGGCGACGTTTCTGGCGTCGAGATTCATTTTCGAGGTTAGTGTAATCATAAGGTGAAATTCTCCTGAAAGAGCGAATGGTAAATTCCTTATCCAGGTCATACCGTTCAGCATATCAACGAATAGGTAAATAAAGAAAAAGAGAAGCTTCCATCATGCCTTCTGATGATGGCACCGTCCGTTGCTCCCCTTGTTTCAACGTCGTATATTTACCATAATGTATTCAATGCACCATTGAACATGTCTTGCGGCTGCCACAATCGTTTTGCATTCCACTGAGTCTGTTTCTCGCTTTGAATTATGTATAACGCCGTTGTTATATCTTGCCTTGTCCTGTGTTGCAGGCAACCGACTTCTTATTTCTCGTACACCTCTTCCCCGCCCCTTACTTACCTACTGTTATTTGGGGCTTTGTCTTCTGCTCTTCCGTTCTGAATCGTTTTCCACACAAAACCATCGACGACCCTTCCTTAATATCTAGTCGGCGGTCACGAGCGTATTGTAGTTGCCTCGTTAGCCCTTCTCTTGCATTAACTTCTTATTTTCAAGTTTTTCTCCACAGTTGCTCTTCCGCCTGTTTCGTGTACAGATAGATTGCCATCATCACATTCCTGTCATCAGACGCCCTCTCTTTCAACTCCCTCCCGAACCGTCAAACGGTGGGACACTTCCACTCTGTCTTCGCATTCACTTACAATCCTTCGCTCAACGCAGGAACAAACTAACTCGAATGAATAAACGCATCGTTGATAGTTTACAATATTTGCCACATCACTGCCTAGTCAGTGATAACTTTAACCTAAACCACAACAATCCTTAGAGATGAAGCGCAAGCATATGTAGGGTGCGGTGGGATTGGAACAGAAAACAGGTTACTCTATAACACTCAGCTATTAGTCCAAAAGATAGAATGATGAACGCCGGTGGCTCAAGATAATAATATACTTGATTCAAAACCAGAGTTAGTGGCGCATTTGTGAGGCTCTTATCTGCTGATGCACAATTAACCTTTTTCGCTCTATTCGCACTTATTCAGTGTTGTGACACTTCCGTAATGGGTCAATGGTTGCACAAGCTGTCTCTTTGTTATTGTCTCGTCTAACTCTTACGCGGGTTCGTGGATGAATATTTGAGCTCGTGAACTCCATGTTTTCCTTCTATACTCAACGGTAGTTTCTTAGCACCACACTAGAAATCAAGCTGAAGTATTACATAACTTCTCAACAGGCTGTCCACTGCTGTATTTTTTCACTGAACACCTAACCAATTACAGAAAACGCAAATATGGACAAAAGAAAATCTGAAGAATATGTTCATATGTTACGTGAGCACGTTACTTCCCAGATGCCCCGGCCGAGAAAGGGGGATAACCTCAGGGTCCCCGTCTGAAGCCTTCGGCTAGAGAGCCAAACCTGCAGGACAACAGGACGGAGCTCAGAATCCACAGTCCATTGGGTGCTGATGTCCAGTTCATTGGGTCATATGCCCTTTGGACGAGGTCAGACATCCAAGGTGCCAAAATGCCTTGATGCCCAGTTGAGCCAGTGACCACTGCCGCATCCAGGAAGGTGTGCGTGTGGTTCGTAAGCCTCATCTTGGTTGGTTTGGAATTAGGGTTTTTAGCCAACTCCCTTAGGTGAACTGCCAATGGTTCACCAACCCGGTTATAGCCCCAGGTGTTGGCTTTTCGTCCTCTCACTTTGGTGGGAAAACACGGCCACGGGGAGATAGTGAGTGGAGCTTCGTCAACAGAGGTTATTCGAGACGCTTGGTCATATGAGAGCATTTCGCGAGGTGTAAGGGAATGGTGACCAGTCTCAATCCCAGACACCCATCCCGACCATACTGAAGCTTTCGGAGGCTGTTTTATTTCAATTCGTATGTACTCGACACAACCAGTTACATAGAATTGAAAAATGTGCCACAGCATGTGAAGAAAAATCCGTAGAACGTGTTCATAAGTTATGTGGGCATGCTACTTCCCGGTTGACCTGATCGAGAAGTTTGATTCTACCTGTATTTAATCAGTTTGATAGGTTTTCGACCACACAATTCAGTTTTCTTGCACAGTATGCTCGTTTCTTTCGTTTCTAATGCATGGATTGACTTTTTTTTTTTATTATGCGTTCGTTTCAACTGTCGAATTTCTGAAGCTTTCTTCATAAATCTGTATTCTGATGCAGGCTCCCACCGCAACTGCTCGCAGACCCATAGCTACACCAGCCCAGAAAAATCCCGTGTTTCTGTTTTACTCCGAAGATTCCCCTGGGATTAAAGTGGGACCGGTCCCAGTACTTGTGATGAGCCTTTGCTATATTGTATCTGTTTTCTTACTTCATTTTTGGGGCAAGTATACCCGATCTGCTTGAATAAATTTTTTTTCCACATGTGAACCGTTTTTTTATGTTGATGGTTTGGCGATTATATATTTCAGGCTAAGCGTACATTGTTCAGTCACTTCACCTCATTATTTTTGTTTCTTTTCTGGTACATGCATATACAGTGATTATTGGCACATACAATCCCGATCGATCTGAAACTAGAAAAATTTATTCAACCTGTCGGGTTATCCTTTCGATACAGACAAATTTCACGTGTCCATCGGTAGCTTGAGTGAAGTTAGATCAAACGACAGTATGCCAATTGGTAAAATGAGGATAAATTCTCTGACGTTAGGCTTACCTCACTTCGTCTAAACGACCGAGTTGGCTTTATAGAC